CCAGCGGGGAATTTGTTTCTAGACAACCTTAAACAAAATTGGTGAAGTTACCACATATATATGAAGAGTTGTCCATTTTACTCACCCTGTGATTAAGAGGCCCGTGGAATAAATGGTAACTACATTTATGTTCAAAAAACTTTTTTCTTTTTGCTGTTCAAAGTGATTTTAGTGTGTTCAAGGACTCAAGCTTCTTGTGTCTAAACAATTACAGACAAATCTGAAAAATGGCACACGTGTTTGTGCTTTAGGAAGTTATAATATGAGGCTATACTGTTAGCATGATGTTAGCACTACTGGATGATACAAATTTGTTGAAATGGTAGAATTGGGGTAATTTGAGCCAAAAGTCTTGGGCTCACACCTCCTTGGACAGTGGCTCACCCCTCCTTTTGATTATAAAGTATTATTTTACTGTAATTCTACATTATATTTCATTAATCTTAGACCAAACATTTTTTATGTTGTTCTTGGTTTTGAACTTGAAGCAGCTTTTGCCCTCAGTGCACTTGCGCATAATTTTTAGGGAGCTTTGCAGGTTTTCTTGAAGCATCTTGGAGACGTTGTTATTATATTCTTAGACCAAACATTTTTTATGTTGTTCTTGGTTTTGAACTTGATTTTGTTCTGAAATGTTTAAATAGGCCTTGTTTATGAAAATTGGCCATTGAAGTTTTTATGAAATTGTATTTCCCTGCAACATTTGTAAGTGGGATGTTAGCCCAATTCGGTAGGTCAGTTGCATTTTTTTTTTTTTTTATTCTTCAATTTGAACTTTATTTTTGTTCTGAAATGTTTAAATAATTCAAATGCCTTCAAAGTTATGAACTGTATCTTGTAACAGAATAATGAATTTAACTCCATTTTGCTTCATTTACTCCCTCCCTGGGCTCAATTTACTCCCTCGCTGGGGGTAAGTTGAGCCAAGAGACCACATCCTGAAATTTATGTACATATTTAAGTTCGACCCATTACTGTCATGTGCTTACTTTAAACACACCGGCTCAACTCACATTTTCCCCTACATTTAAATAAACATTATATATTATAAACATAAATCACTTCATGATAAGAAAGATATCCGACCATACAATATCCTGACATACTCATACTTATTTTAGTATTTTCTATTATATTTGAATAGGCTTCATGCTTATAGCAGGTATTATTTTGTCACATGAGTTTATTCAGTGTTCAGTTATCATCCCAGGACATTTTGAAGGGAAATTTGTTTAAGAACATCTTATATGAACAAATTCTGGTTCATACTGGAAAGGAGATCACTGGAAGGTCATGTTCAACATGGTGTATTGTGGGATACAGTACAATTGGTAATCAAAACAGTTGCTAATATTCTAAAGCATGCTGTATTTATTATACTATATAATTATCTGTATGCAACCTTCCAAGAACAGCTGTCACTGCAGGGTGGGACAAGTTAGACACACATATGTACCTTTAAGGTACTACAATTCATTTTTAGGGGTAAATATTGGTGTCGGCTACCTTTTGAAAGAGTACTTTTTTTTCTGAGAGTGGAGAAATACTCAAATGACCTAATACTTTTGCTAAAACAACAGAAGCGCTGGAAAATTCCATCAAACAATGCAGTTCTTCCATTTTTGTTGTGACCAAAGAACAGATTTGTTTGTTTTTCTTATTATTTTCTCATTATTTCACAGTTTTGACAAAGTTATTGAAGTTTACACAATATATGATTAAATGAAAAAATTGTGAGCCTAAGCAGACACCATTTGCCGAATGTAACATGTGACCTAAAAAGTTCATGTGACAACATACTACCGTTTGATATGTTTAGATACTGCAACTATTCACATGCATACATTTTGATATATATTTGTTTCTTTCTTATTTTTATTTATTTATTTATGTATTTTCCAGTAATGCGCGGTAAGCATCCAGAGCCAGAGCTCCAGCTGCACTTTTGATTGGCGTTGAACGAGCGCGTCATGTGACCCACAGAAGCAGTTATCACATGAAGAGAGTTCTGCTTCTGTTCGATGTATTTAATTAGCTGAAGCTTTATGACTAACACGACTAACAGGTGCTGTTCTGTTTCCTCTGACATGAGTCAGCAAGCTGTGCTCTTGAGAGTGCGTTTGGGAAGCTGATGAACGGCATCCAAGAATCCTGCATGAATATTTAATTGGAAAGTGGATGCGGCTTTAATTGTGTTTGCGGGTGACGGGCCGCATGACAATCCCAATACAGTCATCAGAGCAGAACCACAGCAGGAGCCCCGACTGACTCACTGCATGCTCCTCATTCATTCACTCACACTATAAAATGCCTTCGAGGGGAGGAATAGTTGGACTGACACTTTTAGGTTGTCGCAGGCTGGAGACCAGTCCTCATTAGCTGATTAATCAACAAAGAGAAAACCAACTTTTTTTTAACAAGTAGTATTTCAAGCCGTCACGATGCCTCCGGCGAATCCGCATCTCAATCGCACAGGTGAGAACTTGATATCAGCCATATATAGCGTTATAAATGGACGAAAATAGAAATAAGCAATCTACATATATTTTAATTTGTGAAATATATGCAGTTAATTTAATAAAATGAATATCTCCTGCATCCAAAAATATGCTATGTAAATGTGTCATTTAAGCTTTTTGTCATTGTAGTGATGCCCAAAACAGCCATAAATAAATACATATTTATTTTACTGTAATACATTTCCCTCCACGCTTCAAGACGTTTTGCAGATGTATGTTACTGTAAATTGCTGAGTGTGAATGGTGTTTGAAACAGGCAATACATATTCATTATGCGCTGGCGTCAGAGATCAATTAAATAACATTTACACTGCTCATTGTCTCATTGTTGACTCGTCCTCTGCTTGAGGTGTGAGAACAATAGGACACTGCGGACATTTGCGCTTCATGAAGCCCAAACCAGAACTGCTGTCATCTGTGAACATTGTCAGTATCATTAGCTACAGCTACATTTTTTTGGGGGGGGGGTTGCACACAAATAGCCTATCTGATGTTATTTTAAAAATTAGTACACACTATGTATGGTGTTTTATGCATATTTTAGTAAAAGTCACGTTTTGATGAAGCATCTTAAATCTGATAACCACTTTCAGATTTTCCCCCACACATTTTCCTTCTTTACAGTACTTTATGATATCGTTTTGTAGAGAGAACTAGGCTATATCATGAATAAATAGACCTGCTACATTTTAAAATAACACCGTATTAAAAAAGTTATTCATAATGGTATGTTTTCAAAGAAATTAATACATTTGAGGTGGGTTGTGAGAATAGATAAACAAACGCATTGGACGCAATGAATCAATGCTTTGTTGTGAAGAAAGTGGTCAGGCTTTTATTGCTGTCCCAATGTCCATCCTGTGTGTGTGTGTGTGTGTGTGTGTGTGTGTCAGCATGGTGAGGGTTTAAGAGGGGAGGGCACTTAATATTCCCCAAGCTTACATGTTCTCCACCTGCGATTGGCCCATTGGCGAATTTGGACCCTATCACCGCAGAAATGTGCAATTCATCAGCTAAGTGAAGTTGAGCATCACGTAGACTTGACCTAAAGCTGAGGGGATGCTACAGTGACCCGTGTCCTATGATTCACTCGGGAATAAACACTGGCCACTGTTTTATGCTGTTTGGGGCCCCAATCAATTATCTTTTTTTGCGGTGTGAAGCAAGAAGAGGTTGAAGACGTCCTGGAGACATGGCTGAAGGTGAGGTCGTGGGTGATCTTCCAGTAGGGGGTCAGTGAAGAGAGAGAGAGAGAGAGAGAGGGATAAAGAAGAGGGGGGTGGGACGGATCTCCTGCATTGTCTTTCAGATTTGGGGATCTTTACAAAGGGCTCTTCCCAGAAGCCCTGGGGCTGTCGCGTCGTTACCGCTAAAATGTAGGCTATAGCCCAAATCTTTTGGTGGTTCGTTTCTTCTGGCGTCGGTAAAGTAGTTTTTATTTGTTTGTTTTGGATGGAGTTTTGAAATGTGGAGGAAAGTCTGAAGCGTTTTCAAAACTTGGGATTTATTTGGAGGTTGATGGGCGAGATGGGTGAAATGGGCTCAGTTTATGAGCAATATTACACAGGTAAGCGGGTGCACATTTGTGCTTAATTACTGAGAGTAGCCTACACAAGGACGCGACACTGATAAATCAACTTTTATTTAATTTTTTAATTTGTGTTATTTAATTTTTTAATTTGTGTAATTTAATGAATGAATGATGCATTTATATAGCGCTTTAATGCTAAAATATAGCAGTTTGAGGAAACTAAATGATAGGCCTGTATTGATTTAAACAATAAAAATTATGTTGTCTGATAGTCTTTTTTTCACAACATGAAACGGCTAAATATTGATCACCGGTGATTCACATAATGGGGGGAAATAGCATGGTTTCTCATGGTTTGACGCGATATTCTCTGTTTTTGAATTTGCATTTCTCAGATTTGTTGGTGATTTTAATTTAAGACATTTAAATGTATTTTTTGAGGAAAAGGGATTATTGCATTTTTAACTTTCGTTGCGGTCTACAAAATCTGCAAAGAAATAAACTGAAAAGTTACCTGTTGAAGAATTTCTAGGCTGTATACCTTTTACAACCTATGGTCGGATTGTGCATTTGTTTGCGATTTTATATAGCCTAAACAAACGTTGTATTTTAGATTTATAAAAGTACGCATTTGGACAGTGTAAAATAATTGATGAACAAAAACAAAGTATATTTTTGTAGGGGAAATCCATATCGCGTTTCATTCTCTCGTGTTTTGCACGTTTCCAAGCCAAGCGTGATGAATTCACTGCATGTCGTAAGAGCCCACAGATTAATTGTTTTCGTTCACTTTCGATAGCGTGATATTTTTGTTTGTAAAGTTAATTGAGACTGATTTTCTTGTTTGTGTGCTTTTATCTAGGGGGCTGTGCAAAGACCGAGGAGGAGGAAGCTGCGAGCTCCGAGGAAGACTTTGCACGTTTCCAAGCCAAGTGTGATGAATTCACTGCATGTCGTAAGAGCCCACAGATTAATTGTTTTCGTTCACTTTCGATAGCGTGATATTTTTGTTTGTAAAGTTAATTGAGACTGATTTTCTTGTTTGTGTGCTTTTATCTAGGGGGCTGTGCAAAGACCGAGGAGGAGGAAGCTGCGAGCTCCGAGGAAGACTCGAGCTCGTTTCGTGGAAGTGGGGTCTGTAAATGGTTTAATGTGCGGATGGGCTTCGGCTTTCTGTCCATGACCCACCGGGAGGGCATCTGTCTGGACTCACCCGTGGATGTGTTCGTCCATCAGGTGAGAGAGCGCAAATGAATGCCGTCGTTTTTAATGGACCGGACCTGTGTAGGCCTCTATCATCTCAATGCTTTATTTTCTCATGGCTCAAACGACATAAACACGGGTTACTATGCAAAATTAAATATTTACAGTATCAGTAGGCCACGTTTATAATTATTTTCTACCATTTATAAAGCTATTATTTTGTGTTCGGTGCTGATGCACGAACATTAACGCCGAAATATGAGGTAGGCTAAATCAAGCAGTCGTTTAGCAAAGATACCTTTTTTATTTTCTCCCATCAGTCACCCTTTTTAGGCTTTATACAGGGTTCTGGGCTGTATGGTGATTTGTTTTGGTAATGTGTTGGTTTCTGGGTTCTGTCTTTTTTTCTTTCTTTCTTAAAGGTCTAGGACAATTTCTTAGAGTTTTAAAAGCTTGTTTTATTTGTTAAGCTAAGTGGGATCTTTATTTTATTTTTTATCACAAAATATATTGTCCTGTGGTTTTTATTTTTGAATGAGGTCAGTATTTGTTTGGTTCTTTGGAAATTCCACATTTCTTTTGGTGTTCATAAGGTAGAATGTTTTTGACTAAATTTATTTGAAGAGGCCAGAAAGTTGATCATTTTTATTTAATACTTATGCAAATAAACAAGTAACTGTTTTCTGAACATTGTATGGAATGTCAATTCATGGGTTTTTAATTTTGAAGTTTTTCCCCCCTTCAATCTCAAATAGGGTGAATATCAGTGATTATAACGATAGTTTTGTTTTTTTGAGAGTGCTTAAACTGGCAATATGTTTGATCAATGTTAGTGATAATGTCACTTTCTCTATATAATTTATTCGCTGTTTTAAAACCGTGGAAAGGAAACGTTATATAATTATCAATTTCTAACATTTTTATTAAATTGTAATCACGTTAAATACTCAATTATAATGCCAGTTAGCTTAGCCATTATTTTTAAACGGCTACACCATATGTAGAGAAAATGAATAAAATATTAAGTACAAAAACTGTAATATTTGAAATGCAACAGTGTAATATTTTGACAGTGGTCCCACTTTACCTTTATTCACTTGGTTTGGATGTATCCTTGGATTTGATTTTAAATACACTAATGCAGGTCTGTCTTTCCACATTCCTTGCAATGATTGGCCTGAAATCACAAAAAAAAGCATAGGCGGAGCGTGTGTAAGGCTGGGGAAGGCTTAAAAATGCCCCTGCACAAATAAATTAAATCTATTACGTCTGTTGCTAACAAGACGGGTTTATTAGGTTTAATACATTTGGCTGCTTTTAGCCTTACCCTGGAGTTGGTTCACCCTCCGCCTATGAAAAAAAGGCTCTTTTTTTTTTATTTATTTTTTTTCTCCTGTGGAGTTGGGTGCACTTCAAAAGATTAAAGGTTATTTCTTGTCATTCATGTATGAACTGTTTCTCAGTGGCTTGTACACATGCTCACAGGTTCAAGTCCGGTCTCAGCATGTCCTTGTTCCTTGTCTACTCTTTAATTCTGACTTTGCTCTCTATGCCATACGGTCTTATAAATGAACAGTAAAGGCCAGAAAATAAAACCACAATGATTATAACATTTGTAGTCACTTTGTTCTGCAGTGATTGATACAAAGTGCTATATTTAAAAAAATCCCATTGGGCAGTATACTGTCTACAGTCATGAACACTAACCTTCTCAATCAGCAATAATTCAACAAGCTATTGCCTCAGAACAACCAGCAAGTCGGCAAACAGTGGATCACCTATCACCCTGAGCCAAATGAGCTGCTGCCTCATGGCTTGAGGTCATTGTGTAAAATTACCCAGAGATTAGAGCATCTTACGCTGTTTTTTTGAGAGTGCTTAAACTGGCAATATGTTTGATCAATGTTAGTGATAATGTCACTTTCTATATATAATTTATTCGCTGTTTTAAAACCGTGGAAAGGAAACGTTATATAATTAGCAATTTAAAAATCCCATTGGGCAGTATACTGTCTACAGTCATGAACACTAACCTTCTCAATCAGCAATAATTCAACAAGCTATTGCCTCAGAACAACCAGCAAGTCGGCAAACAGTGGATCACCTATCACCCTGAGCCAAATGAGCTGCTGCCTCATGGCTTGAGGTCATTGTGTAAAATTACCCAGAGATTAGAGCATCTTACGGGCAGGCAGCCCTACACACGGTGTCGGTGTCAAGTGATCTCTCTGTCTCTCTCTAAGTAAGAGGTCTTTGGTTTCCTCCAGAGCGGCTGTCTGGGAGGATGAACGGAGGGTGTTAGAGCTTAGCACACTTTGACTTTAAGTCTCATTGACTGCACAACTGAGATGGGAACATCAGCAGAGCACGGCGTGTTCAGTCTTCATCAACACCCTGAACTGATGGCTGTGTGTGGGACAGGGATAGCCGTTCCAAACCGGTATGACTTTCTTTGGTGCCAATTGATTTCCGATGTATGAGAAAAAGACATTTCTAAAAAGATCAAAGTCAGTCATACAGTTTTGGAACAAAATAATGGTGAATAAATTAATTAAACCTTTAAAAAATTGCTATAAGTAATATATTAAATTATGTTGATTTACTTCAGTGACACTTTTTTTTCACATTATACATTAAAAAAGTGTGATTTTAATCATGTGCACCGGTTTCACACGAATCAATAAACACAATTTGTTGTTGGTCCCCATTGACCCCCGTAGTGTCGGAAAACAGTAGCAGTCAATTGGGACCAACAACTGTTTAGTTACCAACATTTTTCCAAATATCTCAATTTGTGTTCAGCAGAAGAAAGAAAATTATACAGGTTTGGAACAACTTGAGGGTGAGTAAATGTTGACACATTTAAAAAAAAAAAAAAAAAAAAAAATTTTAAAGGGATTTCGAAGTATCCCTTTAAAAACATTATTGTACCATCCTCAGCCTAAACAAAAGCTCCACTCTTCACCACAAAGGTAAAACTGTGTAATTAAAATAAATCCAAACATAACTGAACGTTAAACAATATAGTATCCAACTTTTCTCATCAGAAACACCAAAATATTACTTCATTTCAACATTTTTACTCTCCCTATTAAGTTACATGCAGAGCATTCTGAAAACTATGGTTTCGGTCAACATCAAAAATCATTTTCAAGTACTTGATTGGTTCACATTCACCATACATAATTTAATATAGTAGATTGCACTTTGTAGAGAATTACAGTAATCGAAAGCAAATAAATACTTTTGCTGTGTAGATCACAAATGTGACTAGTAAACCGTATAATCATTTTTTTTTCCCTTGTCGGCGTGATTTCCTCAACTGGTTGTGTTCATATAAACCTCACATCAAGGTTTATGTGAATCATTCCTAAATCAGCCATTTGGCCATGGTTATCGCTCATTGCTTATTTAAAAATGGCCAGGCATCAAGTTAATTGGTTTGCCAGTAGTAGAAATCAATGCATGCGTTCAGCACAACTCCGTAATGCTATTGATGTGTAAATGAAGGGATTTTCACTTTGAGGTCAACTATCCCTTTAAGATATCTTTAAGGTCGGTTCAATATTTAAATGTACATTAACCCATTTGTAGTGCTGCACGATGTGAATTCGACCTTGGCTTGTTAGGAGGAAGATTTATAGATATTCTTGAGTAGTTTGGTTTTGATAACCAGGAAGCAAGCCTCTGTGGATATATTGATAATTGCGGGACCTACCAGGTTAAAAAGACAATGGCTTTCACTGTCAAACCCACAGGAGGAAATCCTGCCTTCCTTAGACTAGGATGAATGGTGTTTGTGTGTGGAGATGACCAAAAAGAGAGGCTGATGGAGAGAGATTTTATAATTAATGGGGGAAAATAGTTGAAAGACATGCTAAGTGAGAATGTTGGGAATGGAGACCAAGAGATTGGAGAAAGGGGGGCAGGGAGGAAGGCAGGGAGTATTTGGGGGAGGGGGTTGTTAGCTGATCTCATTCATAAAAAAAAAACCCTCTGTAGCAAAAGAGTAGGGCGAGTGGTAGGAGAAGGTCAAAGGATGGAGCTGCGGATGGTTTCAGGAAGCCTTGGCGGGGGTTGGGAGGCGCTTTTGCCCAATTCCTTTCCCAGCAACCCACCCCCCTCTGAGAGATGGATGTCAGTTAAACCTGACGTTGTGTGAGAGCCGAAGTGTGGACGGCTGTGGACTTCTCACCTGGTGTAGCTAGCAATGATGGGGAAGCTACTTTGAAATGATCAGCCTCTTAACAAACTACAGTTTAAAGGCAGTCAAACTATTTTTTCAACATGGGCTCAATGGAAAAATGTGCCTCCAATTATATTTTCGCAAAACTCCAAAGATCTCCCAGTATAATTCAGTACTTCCAATGAATTCTAGTGGCACTAAAACACCAAAACCGCCATTCCTTATTTACACACATTATGATTACGGGGCAGATTATTGGTTAGGTGAAGACTTATTTTCATACAGTTCCTTGAACAATACTATGTTGTGACATCTAAACACATAGTGCATGATTTGTAAACTAATACATTGAGGTTTGCATGGCATAATTGGCTCCATATGAGTTTTTTGACAATGTAAACTTGCTCGGTAGTGCACCCGGTACAACATTTTTGTGTGATAATGGATGCTGTGTGCTCTAGTGCAAATCCTGTGAAACACAAGTCACAATGAAAGCGCTCAAAGAAACAAGCTAAATTGGCATGTTTGCTTTAGCAAATGCGTTTTAATCTCTTGTTGCTTTTAACACTTAAGTAGAGTTTAGTGTAGGTGATGCATTGTTTTCAAATACGATAGAGCATTAACCTTATAGCACCGAACACCGGGCATTTTCAGACAGCTACAGTGCATACAACATTTGTTTCAGATAAACCCCAAAATCACTAATAAAACTACTATGAACTAATAAAATGTGTTTTAACTGGTATGACTTGCTTTCGTCGGTGACATACAAGTGTTTTTTTTTTGTTTTTGGGTCCATACAGTAAAAATCATTGGCGTTCAATGTTGTTTGGGCCACAGTGTTCTTGAAAATATATTTTGTTTTATGCAGAAGAAATGCATTCGTGTTTTGAATGAGTAAAATGTGGTATAATGTCTATCACTTCATTAAACAAGAAAAGCATTCCAGTGTTTTGCTCTCCGACAGAATGTGAGGAATTTATTACAGACCATTAAGAGTTTAATGTGTAAAAGACTAAAAACATTCGCCCAAGGAATGTCCTGTGAGAAGATAAGCAGTCTTATTACAAGGCTTGATTTTAAGGTAGCAGACCAACACCACCAAAGCAGATTGTTCTGTGAAAACCATGCCTGGAGTCAGCTTGATCTCACAAATATACCAACTAGCCCAATTTTTGGTCTCCTATTTTTGGTGGTTGTTTGTTAGGAGTACAAGCAGAAGGTTGTTTTTAAAGGTAGATCCTTTCTCAAGCTCCATTTCCATGCGCCTATAGAGCAAGTATCTCAGGAATGTGAGCTTCCCCCACTTTTTCCCTCAGCACTGATGGCCCGGGTGAGGTTTAACCAGATGGCGTTATTTTGCATGTATCTGCCCATCCCATTCATGTCATTCGCTGCACTTTCATTGTTTGTTTCTGGGTTTTTTTTTTTTTTTTTAGAAACAGTTCCAGTACAAATGCATTCATATTTATCTCTCATTGTGACATATGCTCCATGCATATGTATTAGATGCTAAATTGGTCTTATGTGATCTGGATGTAGAAAAAGTGCATCCTGAATGTGGTGGTAGGCTGTTAGAGCATATAGGTACGTCTGAATATATTGTTGAGTAACATCATGTCTAAGATGCCATTGTCTGGTTGGAAAACCGACAGTTTTTGAAAGCAGCATAGATGTATCCTTCACTGCTTATGATATCTTGTAATGTTTTGCCTGTAGGCTGCTAGTTTGAGCCTTCAGTGTCAGATGCAGCCATTGATGGATGCAAATCTTCAGAGTTAATCGGTAGAGAGCCCAGATGAGAGAGCCGTTTTGATCGGAGTGTTAAGTGAAGAGGCGGTTGTGAAGGCGATGTAGCAACAGAACTGGGGGCAGGGAAGATGCCATGCCGGTTCTTTCAGAATTGCAGATCTCATAGAGATTACTCTTAATTAAAAATGCATTTTTGAGGAGAAGGCTGGGGAGAAAGTGGGGATTTGGCTGAAATATGCTGTATACAACTTTCTATCTCATGGCAAAAAAAGAAAAAGAAAAAATATCTATACCAACTGCACATTTCTAATGGCAAGAAAAATGGCTGGTTGTCATGAAAACATTTATATCCATGCAAGTGTTTGTTTATAAACACATGACAGTATAAATATGATCTAAGCGTCTAAAGCAGTGTAGTCTCGCGTAGCCAGACCTTCAGACTGACGGCTGAAGGTCTGGAATACATTGGCCAAAGCCCGCCCATGAGGCCGTTTGATCGACATGTCAAACAACCAATCACAGTTTGTTTCGTTTCAGCGTCACGTTTCGGGGTGTGGAAATGTCGCCACAATAACAGTGCGTGACGTATTTTAAAGATTCTGTGCCGCAAACTTTAAATATTTCACGTACTTTTGAGAATCCAGCGTTTAGTTGATCCTGATAAGCGCTCGTCGTCACAGTTGTAAACACGGAGGCTTTCTTCTTTCGTGAGGGGGTTTGGCGCCACGGTATCTTTGTTTCCAGGTGGAACGTTACAGAACGTGACACGCACGTCCACCGGAAATCCTGTACAATTCAACCAATCCGACGACGACTTCGAAACTCCTGAAGTGTTTCCACTTTTGTGTGCCGTATGCATCAGACGTTCAGCCAGCGGTCCGTGGGGCGTGACGTCTGAGGCTGAGACTAAAAGCAGTGTTTCTACCCTATCTCTGCAGAGCAAGCTTCATATGGAGGGCTTCCGCAGTCTGAAGGAAGGAGAAACTGTGGAGTTCACCTTCAAAAGGTCCTCTAAGGGTCTGGAGTCCTTACGGGTGACGGGGCCAGGCGGGGCACCGTGTGTAGGCAGCGAGAAGAAACCCAAGGGCACCCAAAAACGCCGTTTAAAAGGAGATCGGTGAGTGCTGTTCAGAACTACAACATTCTGTGCTCTTACTCTATTGATGAATGCTTCCTGAAGTTATACAGAATTCATCATCTGATTAACTTGGCCTGCGTCCCAATGTTCATACTATCCATCCTAAAAAGTATATGACATTAGAATAAGTGTGTCCCAAAGCATAGTATGTTGAAAAGATTATGCCAAAAGTCCCCGGATGGTCTACTATTTCAGGTAGATTTTTGAAGTGTGCACACTCTAATGGCTAATATTGCCCACAATTTGACGAAGGATTCGGTTCAGAACTACAAACATTAAATATGTACGCAAATAAAAAGCATTAAAAAAACTACAAACATGGCAGATGTGCATGACCGATAGAAGTTTAGATAAAGGGGTTTGAGGTACTAATAATCAACATTTAATGTGGTTATCTGTTATTTTTCATTTAACTTTTATAAACATCCGTTCAGCCTTTAACTTGTAAATGCATCATTATGCAAAAAGATGAGCAGCATAAAGATCCACGGCTGGCAGATCAACATGCTGTTACTTTTCTTTCCTGTATGGTAGGGGGATCAATTAATTGAAATGTGGAGGGTACATATAACTGTGACAGAGTGGGCCAATAAAGACGCAATAGTATGATGTGATATGTCTCAAAGTTTGCCTACTCTTCTCTATATCTATATATATATATATATATATATACACCTTGCTCGTGTACTGTGTTAGGCTAACCGAGACTTGTCATTTGCACTTATATATTGTTGCTCTTTTATTAGTTTTGACTGCTTTTATTGTCCTCATTTGTAAGTCGCTTTGGATAAAACCGTCTGCTAAATGACTAAATGTAAATGTACATATAAAATAAAACCATTATTTTAATGAGAGTTAAGTACATTTCCCTCACTTGCAAAATGTTTTTTTTTTTTTTTCTGAATTCATTTCTTGAAGATTATAAGGTGAAATAGAAGACTGTTTTCATGAGATTCTTCTGCAAGAACATCCGTTCTGCTTTTCTTGAGGTTTTGAATGTTTTATTGGGGTTGGTTTAGATATTGAACTAAATTACCCTCGTATTTGCTACCTATACTGAGATGTTGCGGTTCTATGTAAATGTTTGAGATGTTGCTTCTGGATTGTCTGACACAATATCTCCGGTTCTGACCAAAGGAAGAGCAATTCCCTCCCCCACGCTGTGCGTTGGTGACTTGCCCTGCTGGATCAATAGGTTGTTTAAAATCGCATAGCTCCGAGAGAGTCACCCGCCCCCCACAGCGCAGCCGCAGGTTATCGATAAGCACCGTCCTCCCACAATCCTCAGCTGCGTCTAATCACGCTGCTTGGGTGAGTGTGGATCCGGATCCAAGCGAGCGCAGCTTTCACAACTGTGCGTGAATGATGGTGATGGTTTTTTTGCTGCATTTTTGCAGTAATAACAGTTCTGTGAGAGACAACAAATTCAACAGGTGCTTGCAACAAATCAAATAACATGTACTTTCTCCTGCTGTTTCTCATTGATATTCAGGTCAGATCCTGTCCGTTTCATTAATAACAGATGTAGGTGCCTGAGAAAGGTCAGAGGTGACCGCTGCCATGGCAACCGTGAGGTGTGATGTATGTGAGCAGGGTGGGGGTGGGCAGGAGAGAGCAGGGATCAAAGTGCAAAGGTCAGGCTGCATATTGAAACAAAGAGTAACAGAGATGCCACCCCTCTTTCCTCTGGCCGATCAATAACTCCCCCCACAATACAGAGAGCTGATGGGCTTAGATACACAGGAAGCTTTCATTTAAATGAATCGCTAACCCAAAATTGTAGTATTTATTATATTTTTAAGTGACACTGAAGTATTGTACTAAACTCCTCTTAGTACATGGTGCATAAGTATATGAAGTGGAGCTTAATACAATATTATGAATATTTTTATAATTACATTATTATATTTATAAGTGATAGTGTCACTAATAGTAATGATAATATTACATTAATAATAATAATAATAATAATAATAATTATTATTATTATTATTATTTCCACTCTGGTTCCATATACAGCTTCAGAATGCTCAGACAATAGCATAAATAATGTGAACTACTTTGTTTGTATTAATGTATTTAAGTAAATTGTGAATGTTATACTAAACTCAAATGTATATTATATTCTTATATTTCATAACTCCACTATATATAAATGTATGTATATTTGAGTATATAAAGTAGATTTGAATACAGTACTTCAGTGTCAATTTAAATATAATAATAATAATAATAATAATAATAATAATAATGAAGAGGAGGATGATGCATGTAGTAGTAGTAGTAGTAGTAATAGTAATAATAATAATGAAGAGGAGGAGGATGCATGTAGTAGTAGTAGTAATAGTAATAATAATAATGAAGAGGAGGATGATGCATGTAGTAGTAGTAGTAGTAGTAGTAATAGTAATAGTAATAATAATAATAATGAAGAGGAGGACGACGCATGTAGTAGTAGTAGTAGAAATAATAAAATTGCACAAATTGTGAACTATGTAAAATTTCATTAAGTGATTTGTAAACAAGTTGTGAATGTTATAATACTAAACTGTAATTCATTTGTTTGTTTTTGGCGACTTGTACATAATTTGTGAATAACTTGTACTAAACTCATTCATTTAATTTATTTACATCCTTTTTAGAGCTCAGTCACATTCATCTCCATTCATCACTGTTCACTTTTTTTTTTTTAGTAAATTCTATGCATCATAA